TTAAGAATGGGATATACATATATATATATATATATATATATGGGATGATCCATCCTAATGAGTTGCTCGTGTCTCATCCCATCTCAATTTTTTGGCACATTTTTTGTATTTGTTAGGTCTATCTCATCCCTTTTTTATATATACATAAAAGCTTAGACGAGTTAGGCTTCAAAGTGAGAGCATGTCTCTAAATTTAAAGAGAGCTTACAAATGTAATTACAAATTCCCACCAATAAAGTCTTCACATGAGTCACATCAAAATTGGAATTTGAACCCATAACTTTATAAGTTATAGGCCATATCTTTATCAACTAGACCATATTTTATTTGGTGGATTTGTCTTATCCTAACCAAACATAATTGAGATCTCAATGAGGAGTATTAAATATGAGTTGTGTATCTATGTTTAGTTACTATTGGTTAGTAGTTATGATTACATAACAAGGATAACTTCAACAAACTACCAATGTGATTTATTTACAAATCATGCCCAAAATAATCTGAAATCTCCTTGCATGATTTTGGGTCTTGATTGAAATAAATTGTAAAATAAAATGATCAAAATATCCTTCTTTAGTTAAATCGAACAAGACATCTGATGGACTTAACACGTAACAACAGGGGATTAATAAGTAATATTACATGTCTAACAAGTCAATTACATTACTTAAAAAGTAATTTGACAAGTAATAATTTATTACGATTTAGATATTTAATAGTTAACATGAGGGACTTAATAAGCAATGACAAGAAATTAATAAATAATATAATGGGTTTAACAACTTAAACATTCCTTAACAAGTAACTCAAGTAATGTATTTATTACATTCTAGATGTTGAATAAGTAGCATAATGAACTTTAACTAGAAAGAACAAGGAATTTTATGTAATATTACTCATCTAACAAGTAATTTAGTTAATGTAACAAGTAATTTGACAAGTCATGAAACAAATAAGTCTTGTAAAGTTAATAGATGTAACAAGTGACACAACGAGTAAAATAGTCCTTTTATTATTAATATTAATTTCACTTTATTACCAAAATGTGGCAATTTTTAAGATTGTTTAGACTTGATTTGTAAATACATCACATCGGTTATCTTTTAATAAAATTCTCCCACTACAGTGAGTATGTTGAAGCCATATTTTGCAAAAAGGTGGCAGTATATAAAGGAGGTCTTGAAGCTGTATTATACCTTATTATTATTATTATTATTACTATTATTATTATTTTTGAATTAATGAATAAATCTATCCTTAAAGTTTCTATGTAAGCACACCTAGCATCCTCAAGTTACTTTTGGCACAATTTTTCCCAAACTTGTTTCAACTTAGTACAATTTTACCCTACCATTAAGAGTTGATTATCTTTATCATTGTCTGACAGTTATTTTCTTGTTAGGGTGCCATGTTGTCATCCATATGGGCTTCTCTCCTTTGACATGTCAAATATTTCTTCCTTCCCTCCCTCATCTTCATCCCTCATTATTAGTAAAGACATTATATATAAAAAATTCTAGATCCACAATTATAGTTAACATTCCAGCATTTACAGATCAAAATTTTCAAATCACAATCACAACAACATTCCACCAAAAGAATATTTAGACCCGCATTTTACAATAAAATAAATCAAAATAATTCTTTTTAAGAAAAATTAATTTTTTAATCCTTTTAGTTTTAATTTATTTTAAACACAATTTCTTAATATAACTTGACATGACTCAATCTTTAAACTTTTGATTCGATTCAAACTTAGTCCTGAATTTTTTTTTCATTTATATTTTTGTCCTTCTCCTCTATAACTCAATTTAATCAGCATCCTACATGGTGATTAAGTTATGAATCATCATCTTTGTAAGTGCCAAATTAGATGATGAATCAGCAACTGGGGAAAAAAATAAAGCAATTTAGATGATCGAAAAAGCGTTTCATACTAGATGGATCACAACGGTTCATTCGAATTCGGAGCCAATGGTGTTAGTGATCAGATGTGAGCAAGCATACATATAAACCCTACACATTAAAAGCTCCATGTGCATGAGGCCGTGAGAGCCAGAGAGAGGGATGTATTTGTTTGAATGGTCACAAAATTTCAAAATGCTTCGAAAAGAAAGCGGGCTTCCTTCTTTCCTTCCTTTCCTTTTTTTTTTTTTCTTTTTCAATAGGATCCCATTTGGTATACTTTGATTTAGATATTTCCTAAATTATTATGGTATAGTTATTTGACTATGTTTGATTCTTTTTACTATGGTATATTCTTTTCTATCATGGTAGTCAAATTATAAAATATTTTAATGTAGAAAAACCTTTTTCTATCATGGTATGCTTGTAATAAATGATTCTATTTCCTTTCTACTATGATAACCTCTTTTCTATCTTGGTAGGGTTTGAAATTATTATCTGAAGTTCTTTGCTATCATGGTAAACTTTTATTTATCATAATAGGGTTTTGGAAAGAATTTTGTTGTATCTTTTATTACCATGATAGACATTATATGTGTATAATAACTTTAGTTTTAAGATAATGAACTATAGATTTGTGAAAAATTGGCATTAAGAAAAATAGTGTTATAAGTCCTATAGAAAGTAAAACATAAAAGTAGAAATGATTTTCATGCATAAAATTTAAATAACAAAAGAAGTTAGGTTAAAAAATAGGATATATATATATATATATATATATGAGATGACTCGTCCCAATGAGTTGCTTGTGTCTCATCCCATCTCGACTTTTGGCAATTTTTTCGTATTTGTTAGGTTTGTCTCATCCTTTATATATATATATGTGTGTGTGTGTGTGTATATATATGCATAAAAGCTTAGGCAAGTTAGACTTTAAGGTGAGAGCATGTCTCTAAGCTTGAAGAGCACTTACAAATGTATTTGCAAATTCTCACCAATAAGGTCTTCACATAAGTCATATCAGCATTGGAATTTGAATCCATAATTTTATAAGTTATAAGCTAAATCTTTATCAACTAGATCATTTTTTGCTAGTGAGTTTGTCTTATCCTAACCAACCATGACTAAGATTTTTGTAAGGAGTATTAAATATAAATTGTGTATCTATGTTTGGTTACTATTGGTTGGTAGTTATGATTGCATAACAAGGATAATTTCAGCAAACTACTAATGTGATTTATTTACAAATCATGCCCAAAATAATCTGAAATCCCCTTGCATGATTTTGGGTCTTGATTGAAATAAAATCATAAAGTAAAATGACCAAAATATCTTTCTTTAGTTAAATCGAACAAGACATATGATGGATTTAATAAGTAACAATAGGGGATTAATAAGTAATATTGCACATCAATAAGTCAATTACATTACCTTAGAAAGTAATTTGACAAGTAATAATTTATTATGGTTTAGATATTTAATAGTTAACATAAGAGGCTTAATAAGCAATGACAGGAAATTAACAAATAATATTATGGGTTTAACAACTTAAACATTGCTTAACAAGCAACTCAAGTAATGTATTTATTACATTCTAGATGTTGAATAAATAGCATAATGAACTTTAACAAGAAAGAACTATGAATTTCAAGCAATATTACTCATCTAACAAGTAATTAAGTTAATATAACAAGCAATTTGACAAGTCATGAAATAAATAATCTTGTAAAGTTAATAGATGTAACAAGTAATATAGAAAGTAAAATATTCTTTTCATTATTAATATTAATTTCACTTTAGTTCCAAAATCTTGCAATTTTCAAGATTTATTAGACTTGATTTGTAAATACATCACATCGGTTATCTTTTAATAAAATTCTCCCATTACAAGGAGTACGTTGAAGCTATATTTTGGAAAAAGGGGGCAATATATAAATGAGATCTCGAAACTATATTATACCTTAAAGTTTCTATACAAGCACACCTAGCATTCTCAAGTTATTCTTGGCATACTTTTTTCCTAACATTTTTTAACTTGATATAGTTTTACTCTATCATTAAAATTTGACTACATTTACTGTTATTTGACAGTTATCTTTTTATTAGGCTGCCATGTTGTCATCCACATTAACTTCTTTCCTTTGACATGTCAAATGTTTGTTCAACCTATCTCCTTTGCTCCCTCATCTTCATCCCTCTTTACCGTTAAAGACATTACATATAAAAAATTTTAGATCTACAATTACAGTTAACATTTATCAAAATTTTTAAATCACAACCACAATCAACATTCCACTAAAAGAATATTTAGATCCACATTTTACAACAAAATAAATCAAAATAAAATTTTTTAAGAAAAGTTAATTTATTAGTCTTTTAAATTTTAATTTGTTTAAAACTCAATCTTTTAAATATAATTTGATAAAAATTATTTTTGAACTTTTGATTTACTTCAAACTCGATCCAAAATCTTTTTGCCATTATAATTTTGTTCTTTTCCTCCATAACTCAATTTAATCAGCATCCTACATGGTAATTAAGTTATGAATCATTATCTTTGTATGTGCCAAATTAGATGATGAATCAGCAACTGGGGAAAAAAATAAAGCAGTTCAGGTGATCGGAAAAGCGTTTCGTACCAAACGGATCGCAGCTGTTCATTCGGATTCGGAGCCAATGGTGTTAGTGATCAGATGCGAGCAAGCACACAGATAGACCCTACACGTTAAAAGCGCCATGTGCGTGAGGCCGTGAGGGCCAGGGGGAGGGATGTATCTGTTTGAACGGTCACAAAATTTCAAAATGCTTCAAAAAGAAAGCGGGCTTCCTTCTTTCCTTCCTTTTTTTTTTTAAAAAAAATTTTCCTCAAAGCTTGCCTCTACGGCGACGAAAAAATTTAAGTTTCAGAGTTTGGTCTTCGCTCGGTTTTTAAATTTCGAAATAGGAGCCAATACAAAACCCCGAAAACTGAGCTTAAATCTTGCTATCTAGCTCCACTACTTATAGTCTGACACACTGCCTTCGACGGCGGGACGGGGGGGCTTGGGCATCGAAGATCCGAGCTCAAATCTGAGCCTCTGGGTTCTTCATTGCAGGTTTTTCCCGATTCCGATTTTGAAATTTCTCACTTGTATGCTGCCTCGTCGGTTCTTTTTCTTGTTACTTAAGCTGGATTTGGTCTGTTTCTTTGATAGTAGCATGCTTGCTTGGATTGGATTCACTCTTATGCATTGGGGCGGGTGGGGAGATCCGGTTATCTTCTGGGTTTATGATGAAACCGTTTAGATCTTGTATGGGTTTGTGTAATTGTGCTTAAAAATTAAGGATTGAATGCAAAAGATTTCCACATTTCCAATCTCAGATTTATTTTTATCGGAGTGTATCTCATCTCATCATTTTCTATCTAACTTTTCTTCCCCGTTTTATATACTACTGCACTGCTTATGGAGCGCAGCCACATTTGGATTTTGAAAGGTTTTATTGTGTGTGACATTGCATTTAGTTATGTTCAACTTAACTGCTTTGAATGCCTTCTTCATTGATAATTCACATGTTTACTGGAGTATTATTACTGGCCATAGTCTTAACCTGTTTAAACAGGATATGTGGCATTTGCTTCAGTGATGCCTCGGAGGAGTTTGATTCATTTCATGTGATCAATGACTCTGATAAATTTCACATGTTCTAATTTAATTTTAAATAAGAACTGGACTATGGGCTGTGCATTATGGAATTTGAGATGAGTTACTTTCTATACCTTATGAATAATGTGACTTCCTACAGATTTTACATTGTATATAGATATATAAATGCATATATTCTCTGACATGGAGGTTCACGACCCAAAAATTTGCAAGCTATAAGAAAGAAAGAATTGGAAAAGAAAAGACGACGGAACAGCAAGAATTTGTACGTCTTAGTTCATTTAGAGGTATCAAAGTGAGGTGCTATAATAATATAACGTTCAATTTTCTCAACTCACGAGTAATTTGCAAGAGCATTATTCTCAATAATTTCATTGGGAATAAACTATTAGATGTGACGTAAGACACTTTTGGGGAATGACATTCAACTAGATTGTGTAGAGTAAGGTAATTTTTCGGTCTATTAATTTTCTATATCTGCTTTGCTAGATTCATGCAATTTTGTCTAGCAGTAGTCTTCATTTCAATTTATGTATTGCTCATACACTAGTTGGGAATGATGTGTATTATCCGACAGGAAAGATGAGCTTGCATCTATCTAGATACTGACAATTTTCAATTCCATTACTGTCTTCAGCAATGGAGTCTCTTCCGGATGCCATCCTTCAATTCATCCTGTCCCATATCAATAATGCCCGAGATGTAGCAGCCTGCAATTCTGTCTCTATGAGATGGAAGGACTCACTGCCTTATATCAAAACCCTTTACTTTCCTCGTAACGCATTTGACAACAATTCTAGTGGGGAAACACCAGACGACATCATAAGGAGAATGATATCACAAATTGTGCAATTGGAAGAGCTAGTTGTATATAGCCCTTTCTCTAGTGCTGGTCTTGCATCATGGCTATCACTTGTAGGTCTATCTCTTCGCCAGCTTGAGCTCCGAATGGACAACATTCTTGACACTCAGGCTTTGAATGAGAACCCATCAAAGCTGGACTGTGTGGGCGCAGCAAGGAATTTGGAATCTCTAAAACTATGGGGTGTCTTAATGGTTAATTCCCCAAAATGGGATGTCTTCCAAAACCTCAAGAACCTTGAAATAATTGGTGCTAGGTTGGAGGATCCCGTGCTGTGTGTGGTGCTTCGGTCATGTCCCTATCTGACTAGGTTGTTACTGCTTGGATGTGAAGGAGTTAGATCAGTCTCAATTGATTTGCCATATTTAGAGGAATGTAAAATGGATTTTTATGGTTTGGGGAACATTTCACTTAGCCTAAAATCTCCAAAGATCAAATCCTTGAGGTACAAGGCTGTAGTTGGATCCGGGTCCCTGAAACCACTTATTTGAGGAATCTTTCAATTTCTAACAATGCAGGTAGTGAATTCTTTTAAAAAAGCGAATATTTTGAATTCTCCTTGCATTTTCCAAAGTTTTCACTGATTTAATTTTCCATTTTTTCCCCCAAATTGTCACTTATCTTATGTTTCCTTATGTGGTAACTGTTTCCAGGTAGAGTGTACATGGTTGATTTTGGAAAACTCGCAGCTCTAGAATCCTTGACTATGAGGGGCGTCCAGTGGTGCTGGGATGCCATATGCAAAATGCTGAAACTGTCAAGTGAAGTGAAGCATCTCTATATGAAGGTTGAATTTACCGGCGACTTTGAGGCTCTTCAACCATTCCCAGAGATTGATTTTGTCGACTTCTTCAATAGCCATCCCAAACTACGCAAATTTGATATTCATGGAGCCATGTTTGCAGCACTTTGTCAGAAAAACAGTCTGAAACATGTAATTTCTGAAAACATTTTGATGTCAGGTTTCATTTAGACCTCTGCTGCAAGGTTCTCTTACGAGAAAATGACTTGTGGATGTCTTTTACAGCTCAACCTCACATTGATTCTTAAAATATATTTCCACAAGTCATATTTTTGTTAGAGAAATGATCTCAAAGAACTTTGTCAAAGTTTTCCTTCATTCTATTACATTTTGACTAATGAAGATATCATTCATTCTGCAGGTGGATTCTGGATTCATGATTCCATGTTTGGAGGAGGTTGTCCTCACGGTGAGATCACCACTTAATGCTGAACAGAAAATGAGCACTCTTGAATCTCTGTTGAAGTATGGGAAGAATATGAGGACTATGGTTATAAAGATTCTTCAGATGAAAAGCAGCCATAGCAGTGCAGATGATTTTTTTGATGAAGTTTGCAAATTCAGATACCAGAACCGCAAGATTGTTCGAATAGAATAAGGCTAACCCCCCCCCCCCCAAAAAAAAAAAAAAAGACTCTTCCTGTACCATCATTCTTAAGAGATTTCGTGTTGATTTTTATTCTTCAACTTGAATGCTGAAGAGATTTATTAAACTTTGTTGTACTTGGTTGGACACTTAACTTGAGAATTCATAGTTTCTGTCAGCAAATTTGAGGGAGAGGGATCTTTTCATCTGTGATTTAGGTTTAGTGCTCCTACACTCCTAGTCTTCCTTTTCCGCCATTTTCTTGGCCTTTTTTTTTCCCCTTCTGTTTGTATTTTCTGATTTTAATTGACAACTTTATATATGATAACAAAAATGAAGACAAAGGTTCTGTCTAGTTTTTGCTAGATTAAAGTAAAGTAGAGACAAATTGGTGAAAAAAAAATGCGTAATCTGAGATTGGGTAATGCCACCAAGATTGCGCAGCTATGAGTCCAGGCTTTATTTATCAATCACTAAAATTGCAAATACTTTATTGATTTATGTGGAAAATAGAAGCACGAATTAATTAGTATAAATCAATGTTAATTCAATTCAAAATTTCAATATTAATTTTAATTAATATCATTGATCAATACCCAACTAGTAAGAAAATTTTCAGAAGTTAATGATATAATGTTGATTTGAGAATACATGCAAATGTGTTACATCATTAAGTAAAATTTAGGACAACAGATAACAGCGAAAATGGTTTGTTTGTTTAATTTAGCTGAGCCTGCTTCATATTTAAATGATTGATTAAAAAAACAAACAGAATTTAAACCAAACACTAAATTAATTGATGCAAATAACACACACACAGAGACTCACCGAGTTAAAGAAAAAGGAATTGATTTCTGCTTTTGTGGCAACCAAGCTCCAGTACACTAAAAATAATGGGAATCCAAATTCTAAACTTATACTACCATCCACGATAAAACAATGAAAATAATAATGGAAAAACAATTTGAAACGCCCAAATTTGAATTCTTTTGTTCTTCTATTGAGCTGTTGCTTCTCTTCATCCTCCTCCTCCTCCTCATCCTCAAACCTCAACAAGTGCCATGCAAAGCTTTCTCTGTGCACTTCGAAACGCCCAGACTTGAACAGTGTCTCTTTGTTTGAGTTCATCTCTTGATACTATTGTATTCCAATTGGTTCTCAACAAGTACTGATAACTTACTTTATGAATATCATTTTTGTCTTTATGCAAATCCCATTGTCCAAATTCCAATGATGTCTCCATGAGAGGAAGAGGGATCCCATTCCTTCTTGGTTTGTGAATCAAAGGCACAGTAATGGATTGCCCTTTCCTTAAAAGTGTCATCTCATCATCCTCCAAGAACTCAAAACTCTCAACTTGGCTGCAAGGAATAGAGACTCTACTATGTCCTCTGCTTACATCTGTGCTGGACAAAGACTTTTGTATGACTCTTATGATTCTTGTTCCACCATATTCACCCATGATCTTTGTCTCAAATTCTTCTGGCAAATTTGGTGGCCGCGGCGGATTCAGGCTACCCTGCTCGCTGTTCTTCTTCTTTCTCTTCATCTCCATAGCCTTAATCCACTCTTCATTGCTAATTTCTTCCCGTTTTCTCTTCAGTGTATTAGTTTTTCTTGAATGAACTCTTTGGCTCCCTAGTCATGTAACACAAGAAAAGCAATCAATCAATCAAATGAACTATAACAACATTGTAAGACTAACTATGAACCATATGACTCAAGAGCTTACCATTAACCAAATTTTCATGAGTTAAGACCTCACCAGTCTTTGTTTTCACATCATTGCTTTCATCATGAATCTTTGAGGAAGCCTTAATGACATAGGTTGTGAGCTTTTGCTCCTCATTATGTTGTTTCTTGATCACAAATTTTAAAGGCTTCATCTTCATCATCATATTCTCTTTCACCAGTGTTTTGCTTCTTTTACCAGACATGCCATTTTTGCCCAAGTTAGGCTCAACATTTTCATTATCCATTTTGGTAGAATCAAACTTCTTAGTAGCAACAGAGGCAACTTGTAACAGAATCTCAAATGAACTCAAATTATGATGATTCATTTCCACGCCTTCAAAATCTTTCATGGTCAACAAATCAGACTTTCTCACCATTATTGCCTTTTCTGCATTTCAGACAAAAATGTCCAATTACAACCTGAGATAAAGCTACATATGTTACGAGAATGTATAAGCAATGTGATGTATATTCCTTTTTCAAATCACATAAAAGTGAAAAAGCAAAAATCACCAATTTAAAACAGAGTAAAGAAGTAGAACTGTATTATCTTCTTTTGTTGTTTCACATCGTAAATAACTTTTATCAAATCCAAATTCATATACAACTTAAGAAGCATGAATACTATTACAAAGATTCAAGACACAACACCATATGAACAATAGCACATAACCAAAAATACAGTGTTTCAGTGCAATATCTAGGCTTAAATGAAATTCAATATACAGATTGAATTCCTAGTACAAGGCACAAATGGTCATTAGAATATTGAAAATTTCGTATCTATGAAATGCACGACTTGAATTTCAATCCAACCCAAGAAAATAAGTGCTGACACAACAAAACCCAACATTTCTATAAAGAACATATATACTGTCCAGAAGGTGATTCCGGCAAAATGGGTATGTTCACAATTATACAACCAAATTTGATGCTAAAAAATGAATCAAGACAATTTCACACCCAAAGGAGTTAAAAAATTTGACAGCATGAAAACTTGGCTTGATTATCAAAATAACCCAATTCACATCCCCAGTACAACATATAACTGAGAAACAGGGTAACTTTTTCTTTTATATATAAATGCCATTTATTTTTGTCATTTTACAGAATCTATTCGTGTGACAACAATTCACGGGAAAAGGCGAATAGAAATTCTCACAAATATCTCAAACGCACGCAATTGTGTTCCGTTCTGGTTTCCCAAGCTGGTTGGGTGCTCTGTTTCTGCGATAAAAAAAAAACAATATCATTCTGGTTATAACACTTGGATTTGGCAATCCCAATTTCATAGATATTAATGATCAAAGGAGAAGAAAAAGAAGTAGAACTTATCCACAAGAAAGTAGGAAGTTGAAGTGTTTCTCTGTTTCTTTTTATATATATATATATATAATTTCATTTCATTTCATTTCTTTTTTCATTCCGCCGAATCAATTCATGTAATGTAACAAGAATGCATGGAAAAGGTCAATAGAAGTACTCACAAATATCCCAAACGTATGCAAGTGTGTTCTGTTCTGGTTTCCTAAGCTGGTTGGATGCTCTGTTTCCGCGATAAAAAAGAAACACAATATTATTCAGGTCATAACACTTGAATTTGGAAATTTCAATTTCATAGATACTAATGATAGTACAAGAACAATAACAAGAACAGGAACAAGAAGAATTTACCAGTATCGAAGTTGAAGTGTTTCTCTGTTTGTGGCTTCACAAAGATGAATGAGAGAAACAGAGTAATCGTGACTGTGAAATGGGGAAGCGGCTTGAAGAGACTTGCTATGTGATATTACTAATCCATCCAAATTAGGAAACATATTTAGTTTCCTAATTTTATGGAAGAAGAGACAGAAACTTGCAATGCGGAATTACTAATTAGTACGCATTATGAAACAATTTTAGTTTCCTAATTTTAGATAGTTTTTTTTTAAATTGCTTAATTACGGATTCTTCAAGATATTTTTTAAAAAATATTTATTAATTACATTTATTATTAAGTCACCACAAGTTTGAATGAAGGTTTCTCTCTCACCATCACCAGTTTGCATTCTTTAAACCAAAAAAAAAAAAAAAAGTCGCAGTTTAACAAATTGGGAGAGCATTAGGTGAAGTATTAAGATAAAATTACCTATTTAAATTTTTAATAATCTCTTCAACTTTCTTTCGTGAAAATTATAAAATTTATAGAGACTGAAAAAGGAGAGCTTGAAGCTCTCAAAAACTTTAACCGGTAATTTTTAAAATAAAATATTAAAAACAATACAATTGCAATATCGCCTCACACATCCACAAGCATATTATTAAAATTAATATCATTTCCAATAATAATAATAATATCATAACAATACTCACTATCCTCCCATTATTTTCAACTCTCTCTCTCTCTCTCTCTCTCTCTATATATATATATATATATATAAATTATATACAGATTATAAAATATTTTTAACTAACTTCTATTTCTAAAGAAAACAGTTAACATTATTAAAATGACATACACTTTTCATGTCTAATTTTATTTAATGGGTTAATTTAATAACAAATAAATTAAAAAAATATTAATTTCAAATATTCATTAAAGGCATTTTTTAATTAGTTAAAAAAAAATACTAAAACACTTTATATTTTTAAATTTGATATCTCTAAAATATCCTTTATGATTTTAAATGAAGAGACATGGTAAGATCTTCTCGGTAGCAACTGCTTATATTTTAATATTGTCTAGTTTTCTCTTCTTTTTTTGGCAAGATCATTTCTTCTTCTTCTTTTTTAGTTTCCTTTTTTTTCGCTTCATTGTTATGTTGAAGCATGTTCCTTATGTTCTGGGCTTATCATTAAATGGCTTAAATCCTTTCTGTTTAGATTCCGACAGTTCACGGTTTAATGAAATCAATTATTTGGGGGGAAAAAAACACGAAGCCTTCAATTTCCGAAAATTTTGGTGCTAAATTGTTTAAACTTACTAATTAAATTAAGGGAAGAAAATGATGATGTAATAATTGCGAATTCTTCAAGCTATTTTTTTTAAATAACAATAATTACTAAATAGTTATTGCATTTATTAGGTCACCACAAGTTTGAGAAAGGGGAGCTTCATTTCATCGATGGCTTCTCACCAATTTGCATTTATTAAACAAAATAAGAATGCAGTCTAGCATATTGGGAGAGCATTAGGTGAAGCATTGAGAGAAAACCTATTTAATTTTTTGTTTTAATATTAAAAAGATAATAAAACTTTCAATTATTTAAGTTTGCTTTAATTATCAATTTGTTCCTTCAAGTTTAATTTTGATCGATTTAATTCTTTATACTTTCTTAAATTATTATGTTAGTCTTTTAAGTTTTAAAATATAAATTAACTATATATAAAATATATTAATAACTTGACACGTATATATATTAATATATGTAAACGAGAATAAATTAATCCTTAAATTAGTTTAATTTTTATTAAGGATTAATATGTAATTTAAACTTTAAATTATAAATTTAAAGATAATTTGAACCATAAAATTTTAAAAAATATATTTTAAATCTTAAATAATTAAAATTGAGGTAATTTTACCCCTCTTATTAAATTTGAACAAACATTTGTGAGTTTTTTAAATATTGGAGTTTAATATGTAATTTTTATTAAATTACATTGTCCCTTTTTTCCTACCTTCATTTGAGAAAAATCGCACATTAAAGCCAAAATTTTTAAAAAACTTATGAACATTTGTTCAAATTTAATGGTAAAAATAAAATTACCTCAATTTTAATTGTTTAATATTTAAAATGTACCTTCTAAAAGCTTAAAGTTTAAATAACTTCTAAACTTACAATTCAAAATTCAAATTATATATTAACCTTTTTATCAATTAAATTTCTTATATTGCATTTTGTTCCTTTGTTCTTTAAAATCTTTTAGTTAGTTTTTTTTCTTACTTAAATAATTACACTTTTTTTATTAACTTATATGGCTACCATTAATATTTCTTTATTCATGTTAGTAAATTTTAATTATTATCTCTTTTATAAACAATAAGAAGCAAACTGTTAATTGAGATAAACTTAAGATAAAATTGAAAAAAAACACTTAAAAAAATTAATAATTGAGATAAATTTAAAGAAATAAAAATTCCATTATCCTTAAGTTAAATAAACCGCCTCATTTAATTTGTAGATTAACTTGTTTAACTCACAAGTTAACTTCATTTGATGCTATTAAAATATATATATATATATATATATATCTTCCATAGAAGCATTAACTCAACAGATTGGCGGCTTAAATTATCCAACTCATTCAGCTCAGCTTACTTTGATAGCATCGTTTTTTTTTTTTTCAATTGCTTATAAATATCTTTCAATTAAAAATAGAACATTAAATGTAAACACTTATCGCAATAAAAATTTAAAAATTAATTCAACCCATCATGACAAGTCTACTCCCATAGCAGCAAAACTTCGAGGAAATATATACATTACATTTTGACTTTTGAAAATGTTAACATCATATTTACAACTCGTTCTTTATATAAGAAATATCTACACCTAATGATTTTGATTGACGAATTAAGGAACAAGAAGGACCTATTTTTTCCCCAAAACACTAAACTATGCTTTAGCAAATTTTATAAAGTTGTAAATCAAAACATGAAAAGTAGGGGGAAAATAGAAATATTCTTTTTTTCTTTTACAAAAATTGTTGAAAACAGAAATATGCTTTCGCGTGCGTGTGCGTGTGCGAGAGAGAGATACTAAACCTTCTATGGCGAATGTAAACAATTCATGTGGAATTTGCATCTACCAATGAAAGTGGCATGTTTTTTTTTTTTTTGAAAAAGTTTATAACTCTACAATAGGCATCAAAATTTTCCAGCTACACGTAAGAATAAATTTCACAACAATGCTTCAGATATTAAAATCGTTCTTTGCTATTAATTCAACCCTAATATGATCTAAATCAGCTTCTTCTTCTGGAAGTATCGCTTCAAATGCCACAACTGCAAAGCTGAGACTATAATGCAGATACCCAAGGACATAATACTGAACCATGCCACTCTAGCATTTGTTTTCTCACTCACTATCCTCATCTCAGCTTCTCTGAAAAAGAAAACAGAAGTTGCAACACTGCATCAGAGAAATTATTCAAAATGCTAGGGAAAATTTTTCCTCTTTTTTCTTTTCTCTTTATTTATTTATTTTTTTTGGGGGGGGGGGGTGGATGGAGAGGTGTGCCATGGTGATAAATTACCTGCTCTTAAGGTAGATCAAATTCTCATGGATGGCCTCAACGGCTCCTTCAAGCTTTTTCAACTCAAGCTCAACTCCCTAGGCATTAATGATGCATGCAGGCACGAGTCAGAACATAGGGGCTTAAACAAAATGAAAGAGGACAAGTAATTTTTATGTTCTGGCACCGGCCGCCAGGGGGTGGGCAGCGAGGAAACCACAGGGCAAGAAGGGTCCTTGAGAAAGTTTTCAAAGTATCACTCATAAAATTTAACATGGGTTTGTCTAAACTTTGAGCCCTTCGAGAGGACTAACCGGCAAGTTATATATACAGGAAATTTGTAGATGAATGAGAAATTTAGATGTCACTAGACTATGATGCTTACCTCAATCTTCTCTTTTCTTGCAACTGAATCCCAATCCTTAGCTGCAATTCCCGTTCTCCAATCAAGGTTGACACTAACTTCTTTACCTGCTTCATTGTGACCATCCACCCAGAAGCATGCCAAGTAGTTCCCAGTCTCATGAGTTGTGAATGCAAATTGACCATCTGTTGCATTCTCCTTATGGTGAAGAATGTTTCCATATGGTGATGTCACCTGAACAAATCAGACTACTGTAAACAAACCAGCAGAGTAATTTATGACTACAGCAGAGATAAGCCTTCTGAACAAGTTGATACTCCAAATTTCATATCTTCCCCCTGAATTAACGGTATACTCATTTCGATTTTAACAAGTTAGCCTAATTGTATGTTTGGATTAATGATAAGAGAATGAAGAAATTTGCTCAATATATACTTGTTTGGGAGTTTTTGTAAGGGTAAAGAATTAAGGATTATTCGATGACCCTTCAAAATCCTCCCCTCATCATGTTTCTAAAATGTCTCACTGCAGAGGATTTCTGAGAAGAAATCCATCATTAATTCATTTACTATACAATTCATTGAATTTTGAAATGAAGTATCAATAAACTAAATTACTATAATTAATCGTTTCAACAAGAGATAAACATGAAGTGAGATTAATGCACAAGGCAAAAGAGAAAACACTTAGAATTCGGGTAGCCAGTTGGTAACATATTGCCCCACAGAAACACCTTCCCACATCTAGATAAGGATAAAAAAACTCAAGGAAGACACTGAAAGCATGCATTTCAGATTTCTCAATTATTGAACGCTTATCTTCTACACTGATCAGAGACCAATTTCAGGTAACTATTGCTTAGACAATAGAAACCCCTTCATTTTTACCCTTGAGAATCGAATGAGTACCACAACTTTACATTGAGAGAAAATTCATCAAAACAATTATGATCTCCAGAATCATATTTGACATTTCCAAATCTGTAATACTCAATATGTGTGAAGAAAGGGTCAATTCTAGGGTAACATAAACAAATCATCAAATCTATCCTAGACAAACGACGTCTAAAATCAACATGCCAAAACAAAACAACAAATTGGCTAAAGAACTACCTCACCAGTCCAAAAACCCAAAATACTTCTCTCTCGAAGTTCACGGAGACCAAACATTAAAAGAATTTTTTTAAAAAAAATCACAGAACGAAAACAGGATACCTTGGCGCCAAGGGTGGGATTGTGGGAGTGATCATCGGGAACGACGACATAATCAGCCAAAACAACAACGTTGTTCTGGATTTCTTCGGAGACGCATTTGGTTCCAGTGGGGGGTAAGGTAAGCCAAATAGCGTGAGAAAAGGATGAGAATAAGCAAAGAAGAAGAAGAAAGAAGGGCAACAAGATAGCTCTGTTGTCCATAGCCCTTCTCTTTCGGTCTCTCTGCAACGAAGAATTTTGTGGGGAAGGTCTTTGGAAATGACAAAGCACACAACGCTTCGTAATTCGGATCTCCCTGTGCCTGTCCTTCCTGTGTCCTCTGGTTTCAGTTTTCCTTTTCCCCTCCCGATTTGTTTTTTTTTTTAAAATTTAATTATAATGATTCATGCCTTTGATTTGTGCTCTTTTTTTCCACCAATGATAGGTTGACATCTCAGCGAAGGTGATGATGTGGCAAGAAATGGAGGCATCATGTGACTAGGCCGAGAACCGCATATGAAGTGGCTTTTTCTTTTGGGCCAACTATATGGAATGAAACTAACACCATCCCCTGGAACATAGTAAAAGAACATTTTTTATTTAGGAAAAATATTTCTGCTGATCTTACAGTTTTATTTAATTTTAAATGAATTTTTTACATTTTATTTTATTTTAATTAAATCAGTTTGATTAATGGAATTCTTTAATCCTTAAAAATTAAAATTCTTAAATTTTTTAAAAATTAATAAATTTATATTTTTATTAGATGATTATATGACTTTAGAATTAATTACATAATTTTGAAATTCAAAATTTAGATAATTAAGTTGTCTTATAATTTTTTTATACATATAAAATTTTCATAAAAAATTAATAAAATGTAAAAAATGTCTTAAATCAATTTTTTTATTTGGATAAAAGTATTAAATTAATTTTTTTTGCAAATTTCAAGAGCACTTTTGTTTTATAAAATTCAATTATTCATTGTTAATGTTAACTTTTGGGATTAGTATATAATAGATTAAATTATAAGAGTTTGATTAAAATAAAATAAACTATAAGGACCTAATTCAATGTTAAGTGAAATTGTAAACACTTGCAGATATATTTTTTCTTTGCTTTATTATATAAAAGTAAGATATATTAAGTGGGTTCTACATTAGGAAAACATTTTAATAGAAAGGAAGATGAGGGAGAGCACGGTACTCCCTCTATCTCAAATTATAATATATTTTTAGACAAAATTTCATATATTAATAAAACTCATTAAAAACACTTTATAACCTTACTTTTTCAATAGAAAAATGCAAACGTTTAAAAATTTTTTTCATTTAATATTTCATTGATAAAAGAATATTAAAAGAATGAATATATAAAAAGGATAATATTAAAAAAGTATCATTAATAAAATATTATTTTTATCAAAATGTTTTATATTTTAGGATGCTGAATATTCTCTAAAAATATTTCATAATTTAGGATGGGAAGAGTATTAAAATTTAAGTTAGGTTTGTGAATCAAACCAGTGAACTAGTAAATTTTATAAATAATCACTCATGATTATTATTTTACTAATAATTTTGATTAGGCTCAACAAATTTACTAGCAATTACCATATGTTGTGGGATTATTCTCCTCATCTTATTTTGAGAGCTTAACACAATGTAAGCTGCTTCAAGTTTTTTCAAGAAACTTTTTCTTTTGTATAACCATTCGGCATCTAAAGTCAACAATCCTAACTAATCTTAATTCGACCATTGTGGGGCTCCAAAAGGATGGCTCTTTTGAGCATTTTTTTTAACATTCTCATCGCTCTAGGGATCAAACCCAAGAGTTAATGGTTAAGGGAATTCAAACCCCTTATCATTTGAACTAACATGCATTGGTTTTTCAAGAATTTTTTAACTTAATAAGGATCTTCTTCCAACTAGCTAACCAAGTCATCAACATTAAGGTGTACTTGATGTATTTTAGGTGGAGATTAAATATCCTTTATTATTAAATTTCCATTCCTATTTTTCTCTGATGTTCTAAAGAACATTTTTCAATGATGTTTGGAAAACACAAGAATATCATGTCTTTGAAATTGTAGCTAATTGTGATCGACTCGGGTCTTTCAAATCCACCGACAAACTTGTGCGGGGAAAAAAAAAGAAATCTTCTCTATCTAAAATTGCTTACAGTCTTGGTCGCATTTCATACCATCCACTTTTGCATAAAAAGAATTAAAAAAAACAAACAAACAAACAAAATATCCCTACTTGAGGAGAAGGATAAAGAAGTGCATAGTGTTGGCTTTGATTTCATTCACTACCGTTCCTTCTCTCTTGATTGTCACCAATCTAACTGGGATGGATCAAAGTTTGAGGTATGCAAAACCTTAGCTCATTTAATTGGTGAAAGCCCTCTAATGTCATCTCAATCACATTTTTCATCCAAGTGATCCTTCTTTTCATCTTTATTGGAGTTGAAAATAAGGCTCCATGGAGACGACGTTAAAAACCAAGATAAAAGTCAAGTTGCAAAGAAACTCACACAACCATGAAGTTTAGTATGTCAAAAATCTCCATTTATTAAAAAATTAGTTATAATAACAAAATTTATATTTGAGCACATTTTTAAAAAGTTAGTTTGAAAACTAAAAATTGTCAGCATAATATTTGATGGAAAATGCTTTTAAATGTAGAATTAGCAAAAATGACTTGAATTTTATAAAATGTAATTGTTGTTATTCAAATCCAATACATTTGAATTGTTAATAAAATTTAGAAAAAAGTAGTTAGATGTTTTAAGTTCCTCATTCAATGCCAACCCCTCATTTCAAATGGAAACCTAGGTATCTCTAGCGTCTAGGCAATGGACTTTTGATAGGTTTTTCAAAAGATTTTTCATATGCTTGTTTTGAGCTTATATAACATCATAAAAATCCTTGAGAGAACCACATTTGTCAAATATTACTGGTTAATATTATGATTTTTTTTTTCCTTATGAAACTAGGATGGAACTTGATGACTGAAAAAGGATAATCCATGGGCTTGTGTGATCGGCAACAAGTATAAATGTGGGAACGATATAACACCCAAAATTAATCCAAAGATTCAAGGTTCGAATGTGTGGGCCGAAATCAAGGCTACCTAGGATAAGGTGAAGGCAAGTACTAAAGTAATTAATAATGGGGAAAATGTTAGACAAAAGTGGGAGAAAAGTGGACTATTCTCTGTGAAGTCATCAGCTTATAAACAACTTACCCATGCTAACATTCATCGTGACAGAACACGAGAGCAAATATGGCGAATGAAGATTCCTCAACGTTGTTGCCCGTTGCTTTGGACTGCCTCTCGTGGGAGTCTTCTGACAAATGTTGGTTGCAGAAAGCGGGGAAGGACGTCAGATGCGGCATGTTCTATATGCAGATGTGATGTAGAAGACTCATCACATGTGCTTCAAACTGCTTCGTGATTTCTCGAAAACACAGTGACTATGGCGCTCTCTTGTTCCACTAGATAAACAACGTGAGTTCATTGAATTGAATTTGCATGGTTGATTTAACTGGAATATTTCTCAAAAAGGGTGGATTATGGATGATTATGACTGGAGCTCTTATTTGCCATTGTCTACTGGAGGATTTGGTGTAGACACAACGAGTATATCTTTGAACAACAAAGAATGATCAATGCATCAGTGGTGGTTAGCTCAAAAGCTATCTTAAGCAACATGTAGAACTCACTCACACAAGCACCTCATTGGGGACTAGCTTGAGTCCAAGGCGTCATGGACCCTTCCTAAGCATGGGTGGGTGAAGGTTAACGTGGATAAGGCCTACTCTCAGGCTACAAATAGGAATGCATGCAGTGGTCTGATCAAGAATTCTGATGGGGCATTTATACGAGGCTTCTATTGTAGACTTGACAATGGCGACGCTCTCTCGGCTGGGCATGTCTTTATGGGTTGAATCTTGCATAGGACATAGGGTTTTGGAAGATTTGGTTGAAGCTATTGAGTGTTTATGAGATGGATGCAATTCTCTACATGCAGATGTTGGAGTCATCTCCAAAGCAAAGTTGCTAATTCAACAAAACTGGGAGGTGAACCTAAATCATGTCTATCATTTTACCAATAGTGCTGTGGATTTAGTTGCACAGTATGGAATGCGTGCAATGCCTAGATTTTACCATATGACTCAGGTGCCAGAGGATCTTACCCGTGTATTAGCTTAGGACTTTACCCCAACTATTGTTGGTGTATGGTAACCAGGTTTTAGGCTTTGTTTTTGTGTAAAAAAAAAAAAAATCCATTTGAAAAGGCTAATATAGAGGAAAATAATATTAACAAAAGTAAATCTAAATTAAATTACTTTCGTGAGATGGATTTTCACAAAATACTTCTCAACTTTCACCTTTGATAACCAAACATACTCTTAATTGATGTTCTCTCTTACAACCATCATTAAAAGTGAAACTATGCCACATATTAAAAAAGAAGCCTTAACAAGATAGATTATCTTAATTAGAGTTTTACTAAAAAAAAAAAAGAAAAAGAGTGGTGCTATAAAAAGTTGAGCTTCAAAATCCTTTTTTTTTTAAAAAAAAATAAGACATTAAGTTATTATCCATACAAGGCTTATTGGTTCCAAGCATTTAGCTCAAACGATTCCTACTTTAGCAAACTTTATATTTCTGGGCCAAAAAAACCCTCAGCGACCCCCCCTTTTTTTTTAAATTTATCATAATAATAATATATTTTCGGTGACAATAATTTCTCTAACCAGATTTCGGTGACAATAAAAATATAATATATTTTAGTGTTGATATAGATTAAATATACTTGTAAGACTAAAGTAACATATTGTAGATTTATTTTGGGGCAAGATACCAGAGAGTGGAAGAATTTTAATAATTTGATTCTGATAATATCTTCTATGTTAAGAATTTTATTTTTTTTAAAAAAATCAATTTCATATTTACATTGAGGCATGTATGCTAAAATGCGGAGTTTCAATTTTATACCTCGCATGCGAGACAGTGGGTGGAAGTAGTATTGTTATTAAAGTAACTAGCTAACAGCAGTTAAGAGAGCTAATACACATAGTATTAAGCTTGAGAAATTCCTGTATAGATTCAATATTTTTATCATCTATATTTTATTCAATAAAAAATGCTATTTAGATAACTATAAATATTAATTGATTATGTCATTCCTAATAAAAAAATGTAAAAAATTAATTAGACATTTTATTTTAAAAGTAAAGTCATTAAAAATAATGATATATAAGATTTTAATTAATTGAATCAGTAAAATTTTACTAGATGAAACACGAAGAACGTGATGTGCTGAATCTAAGTAAGAATTGCTTGTTAAACCCTTCAATGACAAAATTTTAAATAAAAAATAACAAAAATTATGTAAAGCTAAAATTAAACCTCTTTTTTTTTTTTTTTTTTTACCAGCCCTCTAGATCTCATTTAAAATGAACATCATCTCGCTTTGACACATTTTTGTCTTTGGCCAAAAAAAAAAAAGACACATTTTTGTCCGCCTTGGACGTGCAACGAATCGTTTAGGGTGGACAAGAGCTGGCAGCACCATCGTCTTCCTCCTGTGTCATCTTCATAGCTCCATTGTGTCGTTAGGGTTTGGACTCGGTTGAGTTTCAGCATCCCTTTCCCACATCTTCAGCTTTCACAGTTCAATATTCAACCTAGCGGCTTTGGAGGCCAACGTAATACCACTTTCCGATTTAATTTCTTAATCTCTCGAAGCATACGCTAAAATATAGCGATTCCTTGTCTCTTTATTCCGTGACTCGCGAGTTTGTTCCCCGAGTCTTCAATTACCATCTATGCGAAGATCGGCAAAGTTGTATCTTTCAATTTGTTTCGGCTGGTAAATATGCTAAATTCTTTCTTTGTTGGATTTTGAAACTTCAACTGTGTTCATCTGTTTGTTTTCTGAAAATATTGTGGAACTGGAAGTAAGTCAGATTGATGAATTAGCTGAAATTAGTTAAAACATGAGTTAATCACAATCTTTTGTCGATTAAATTTGATTTTTAGGTTGCAAGTATCTCATCGTATGCTTGATTGGGGGGAACTTGGATGTAACTGGATGTCTTCCTTAACATCTGAACGGACAGATATTTATTGCTGTATTAGAGATATCTCTGGGATTTTCAGGTGAAAACTTTTTTTTTTTTTTTGGAAAAAAAATACTGCTTATTGGAAATCGCATATGTGAATAATACAGCAAATCGCTATCTTTTTATTGGTTTGCATTAATTGGATTTCTTCTTTCTGCCACAATTTAACGATTGACGTTTGATATGCTTGGGGTATTGATGATCAGTTTTATATTTGTACTGTTTGATGACCTTGCCATTGGAACTTTTTGTTCTTAGTTTATTTATATATTTTTTGGGCGATGTTTTGATTGCTTTGGTAACTCGATGCAGTTGGTATAAATTTCTTATTACAGGGAAGCCTTGCTATCATTGTCTTAAAGCTCAAAATTTAGAAATATCTTGCATATTGAAGCTCAGTTGTTAGAAAATGCCTCGAGACTTGTCCCGATCCCGATCACCTTCTTATAGGCGAAGGCATTCACCATCTCCTGTGGGACACAGGCATAGCAGGAGGAGCAGAAGAGATAGAAGCCGATCTCCATATTCTTCCTACTCTTATAGCAGGTGATCCCGTTTGTATTTTTGCTTTCCTTATGCTAATATACCTTGTTTCAAGTCGGAAAGAATGGGGACTCGTTTTGATGTCATTTGGATTTACAAAATGTTGGAGTTGATCTGTACGCATCTTAACCTTTTTGTCTATCGTTTTGTTCTTTTTTCATTCTTTTTTTCATGTTGTACAAATATTTTAGATTTTCTTTCAGGTTTGGGTTCTTTGTGCATACCAAGGGAATTATACAAAATTTGGAATTGTTAAATACTTTTGGACTTGAGTTGTTAGTGTTCCATTAGCTCAAATGCAGTCATGATCAAGCATTAAGGCAGCTTGATATATAAAACAGTGGGTTTTGACTTTTGAAGGCATTTGACACATTCCAATAAGTTGATTCCTTTATTTAGAATTTAGGTCAGACGGAGTTGGAAAATTTGATTCTATTTTGGAATGTTTGTTGAAATTGACCATTTTCTGCAGAAAAATGAATGATACTTTCAGAAATGCAGAGTAAGCTGGTAGTATATTTATATGATGAGCAACTGTAGGTGAAAGATGAGCTTTGCAGTTGACTATACTAATTATTTATGAAATTTAATTTGAATTTAATATCTAATGATAGTTATTACTCATGATTTGGCTTCTTTGTTGCACGTGATGGAGTAGACGGTTATGGGCAGTCATATTTCCTCTTTAGTTCTGCATGTGTGACATTCTGCTGTTCGGATTCTCATCTTCTGTTTAGCTCCTTGAGAGACTCAATGGGATGCTAATGCTGGATGATTGATATTACCATTATTCAAGTATTGGTGATCTTGTCACAGTCTGGTGACGGTGTTGTTTATGTTGCATGGCTTTTGGGTTTGTTTCCTCTGGGGTATTTTGTATTTGTACGTGGAAGTGGAAATTTTTCAATAATATATGGAACATAACATAGATAACATGATAGGATGTATCTTGTTCATAATAAAATTTAAGCTCAGTTTCTTCCCATAACTCGGGAAGTGAGCAGGTGATGGGTGCTGATGAGTGTCCTTTCATTGCCCAAATGTGACATATGCTTCTTCATGTGATAAAAGATGGAGCACACTGGTTTTTCTTAGCAATTAATGAGGTAACTCTGTATTTAGTGCGCTAGATGGTGGGCAGGCTTTATACATACCCCTACATAATGTTTACTAGTCCCTATAGACTGTGGCTTGTTGCTTAAGATCACTGTATCATCATACAGGCGGAAAAGTCGTTCTAGTTCCCCAAGACGTCACAGAAGTCGATCTACAACTCCAAGACGTCATAAAAGTCGATCTACGACTCCAAAACGATACAGAAGACAGAGAAGTAGGAGTTCCTCGTTATCTCCTACTCATAGATCTTCCAGTTCAAGCCTAGGTTTGGTAGAGCGCAAAACCGCCATTGAAAAACAGAGGAAAGAAGAAGAAGAGAAGAAAAGGTATTAATTGCTTATTGTTATGTGCTGATTCTTCTTCTTCTTTTTTTTTTTTTTAATTTTACCATTTTTTCCTTTAAGATCGATACCATGATCTTCTGGTTTAACTCTTTACCATTTTGTCCTGAGTTTACATTTTCTTTAATTAGAAATCTTAGTTTCTCAGGCTAACTGGTATGTTATTGCTTGAACTTTCAATTTCATGATGGCCAATAACTACCTGGGAAGTTTGGAGAGGAAGTTTATCACGGTAAAACCTTGGGCATATGTTCCCCTGTTCTTTGATGATTTAGGTAGTGTAAAATTACCAGCTACTACTCACTATTTTGGGTATAAATATACTCATGCTTTCCTGTGGTCTAATCTAATTGTTCATTGGATATGATAGATTGTTCCTCTTCCGATTTAGCCAATACATCAATAAGCCTCTCCCTTAGGCACTCAATCTCCAGGCTCCTAAGGATCCAGGAACTTTCGCAACCTCAGACACAGCCTACCAAAGTATGAATCTGAAGACATTTTGGCCAAACATTCTTAGTACTATTTAAAATCATAAGATATCTAAAGAGACTAATACTTTGATACACAGGATCCTCAAAAGAGGCAAGTGTAGAGCATACTAATATTAATCTAGTGATATTGTGAAAGAGATAGCACAAGAAGATTTCAGAAAGGAGAGAACTTAGAAAGAACCCATTTGGACAAATAACACACTCAATGAGTTTTGCTTTATTTCACTTTGTGCAGGTTGCATTTAATTCACGGGAGCAGAAAATTTCTTTTAGGCTTTGGCATTTTGCTAGTATCTTTTTTTCCCCCTGGTTTATATATGATCTAGACCTTGTTTCACATAATATTCAAGCAACTCTTCAGTTTGTTACTGGTTTTTTGATAACCTTTGAGGTTACCTGCAGTCTTTGAACTTTTTGAAGCACATTCTCTGTCCCCTAACCTCATGCATCTTCTTTGAGTCCTAGGAAATTCCAAACGTATTCAGTTATTGATCTTAACAATTAAGATAGATCTCATGAAAGATAATGAAGATATGTAAATTAATTAGTAGAAACAGAGGCAGTGGCAAGGGGGAGGGGGCAATAAGTGTATCCTTCTGTACTTGTGACTTGTTTTGTACTGTAACATCTTGTTAGAAATCTTAACCTGACCCATTCAGAAAGTCTGTTCATCATGGTTACAGGGTTGATAGTCCCTGAAATTCAGTGTTCATATCAGGTTGATTTTTGTTTGAAAGCTTTCATAGCATGCGTTGGCTACCTTGTCACTTGTTCTTTAGGCATGACTTAGTGCAAAGCTCTTGATCTAGAGAAGTTTTCCCTCCTTTTTCTTTTCCCTTTGTCCACAATAAACATGGGTTTTTTAATTGCTTAGATGTTTTAGGACCTACTAAATATAAAAGTTAACCTGTATTTCAGCAAGTTTCTTTCATCTCAAAGATGTTAGTAAAAGAATTGAAATATTTGCCATGGTTAGTTTAAAACTGCAGCAGGTTACTTGAATGTCTTCTCCACAGGCTAATCTGAAGGAAGGTACTGCTATAGTTCAACTTGTTATATTTGATGATCAAATTGGCTGCCTCATTTATCTACTGTTCACCAGTTTTGATACTCATTTGTTTGGATCAGGATTCAATAGAGGTATGACTTAAAAGCATAAGCATTTTTCTAGTGCCATTGTCATCATGAAGGTTTGTTTGACAATGATTATGGTTCTCTTTAAGTAAGGTAGAAAAGGATAAAAAGGGGTTGAAATGAAGCACGTCTGTTGTCCAAGTGTTTTTTTTTTTTTTTTTCTTCCCTTGGTCCATCTTCTTGTTCAAGTTTAGTTGTCCAAGTTATGTTGCCCATTGTTCATGACCAGAGATATTGGTTTTGCTTATGTGGCATTCTCCCTGCTTTAATGGCCACTTTCCTGCTTAACATGTTGTCATGTATCCACAGGCGGCAACAGGAAGCAGAGTTGAAGTTAATAGAAGAAGAGACTGCAAAGAGAGTACAAGATGCAATTCGTAAGAGAGTTGAAGAGAGCTTGAAATCTGAAGAAATTCAGGTGGAGATTCAAAGACGGTTGGAAGAGGGAAGAAAAAGACTAATTGATGAAGTTGCAGCTCAACTTGAGAAAGAAAAGGAAGCTGCTCTTGTTGAGGCTAGGCGGAAGGAGGTATAAACTTCAAAATTATTCTTCCTTAATACTTTGTGATGACTATTAATATTTCATTCTCTTTTTGATGTGATAGAAGTTCAGGGCTGCTGGTATCTTTTTTCCCTTGGTTTTATTTGGAACTTTTACTATTATGATTCCTGTAATCCTGCAATTTTAAATAATTTGTCCATTGGAAAATGTTGTTACTTTCGCCACTTGCAACTTGCAAGTCTGATAGCTTGCCCTGACCTGCAGGAGCAAGCTCGGAAAGAGAAAGAGGAGCTTGAAAGGGTGCTTGAGCAGAACCGGAGGAAGGTTGAAGAAGCTCAGAGACGAGAAGCTCTAGAGCAGCAGCGACGAGAGGAGGAGCGATATAGAGAGCTAGAAGAGCTCCAGAGACAAAAAGAAGAAGCCATGCGAAGGAAGAAGCAAGAGGAGGATCAAGAACGTCTAAACCAAACGAAGTTGCTGGGCAAAAACAAATCGCGACCAAAATTGTCATTTGCGTTTGGATCAAAATGATTGTAGATTACCATGGGTGTGCCTGTTTTGCTGTTGAACTTTTGATTGTTTGCCTGAGTTCCATAAGTGCGTCTATAATCGAGGGAATTATGCTTTCCCGCAATTTTTATGGGCAATGTTTTGTATCTGATACTCTACTTTTTCCAGTTTGTGGTAAATGTAATTGCTTATCATCACTCAAGAATTGTATCAAGAGTTACATTCATAGGTATAGGGAGAGAGTGAGCTGAACGTGAGACTTACACTTAAGAATTACATTATATCCAGATGCTGGACTTCGTCCTCAGAAGGTGCTCCTTCAGTCTTTAATGTAAGTTATCTTGTAGCAGAATTTTGTGGTTTAAATGTAAGTTACCTTGTAAGAGTTTTGTAGAGCACTAATCGCTTCATTTTAATAGTGCGTTTTTATCAATTTCTAATGATGAGGTTGAGAGTATTTGTTTGAGAGAAATGAATAGCAGGGAGAGATGACTGCCTTTGGAAATGAATTTGCGGGCTAAAAATGTGTTCCAAAGGGGAGGAAGAAAATAAAATGACTATTAAGGATCCCAAAAAATTATTAATTATAATTAGAGATTTTAAATTTTTGAAATTTAAATAATAAATCATAGCCTTCACTTGAAATTAAAAATATGAGTTTGGAAAATTGTTCTCGAGTAAACCTATAAAATAACTGATCGAGTTTTATTTAGAAAATCAAGAAAAAAAACATTATTAAAATTATTATTATTATAAGTTGAAACTTTTATTAATCTTAGTTGAAAAAATTAAAATCCCCATTTGGAATAGGTTAAAACTAAAATGTATTTGTGAAACTTTCAAAAGGCACCTATGAATATATAATAATTACTTAAAAATTTTATTCAAAGTCACTTATGAATATGAAGTTAATTGGTTGTAAATTTTTATGATTGTCAATATGTAGGTAAACAACTTGGAAAATAAAAAGAAAAAGACACTATTAAAATTAATATTATGGATTGAAATTATTGTTAACTCAACTGCGAAAACTAGAATTCTGAGTGTTATGGATTGAGACTATTAAAATTATTAATATGAGTTGGAATTATTGTTAACTTTATTCTCAAGTGTGGATCTTGTTTTTGTCAACTAAGATTAACAAAATTCCTAACCCATAATATTAATTTTATTAGTGTCTTTAATTTTGTTGATTTTCCAAGTGAGACTCAACCAACTATTTTCTACATTTTACTTAAGGAAAATTTTGTAAATTCATATATTATTTTAATTCCAAATAAGCACCATGATCAATTACTGGGATTTCAATAACTTAGAGCTTCTAATTGTCATTAATGATCTTCTGGGGTCCTTGGTTGTCTTTTTTTCCCAAAAATAATGTATTTTGTTTTCACTAAAGGTTTGGTATCAAGCAATGAATACCCTCATTGAAACACTTAAAGGCAAGTATTTACAATTTGGCTAATATACATAAAATTTTCTGAATTTTGAGACAGTTATATATAACCTCTCTCACCTTTAAAATTTTAAAATCAACCCCCTAACCTTTAGTTTTGCTATTCAAAACCCCCTATTATTAATTATGTTATTTTTTTATGAGGGTTAAAATGTCATTCAACTAACAAATATTGTTAAACAAAAATATTATATTGTATAAACATTTATAATAAATTTTTTATATTTTTTGGATAGTTGAAGCATTAATAACAAAAAAAAACTGTTATTATTATTGTATAAAATTTTAAATATTTATGTTTGTATTAGTTTTATCCATATTTTTTTGTTATCAATGATGCATGATTTTTTTGTTTTAAAAGATAAATTTTATTTATTTTTCATGTTAGATTAATGTAATGCACATGGCTAAAATAACATAATTAATAATAGAGGGTTTTGAAAAAAAAAAAAATTAAAAGTTAGGAGGTTAATTTTAAACTTTTAAGGGTGAGAGAGGGTTATTTGCAACTGTCTAAAATTTAAAGAGATTTTTTGCATTTTAACCTTACAATTTTAGGTACTATTTTAAGGGTCACAAGATAATTTCACCCTTTAATTATAAGTTTAGAAATATTTAAAATCCTAAACTTATATTTTACATAATATTTTCTTTCAATTTTTGAAAACGTACAATGTTAGCCTTATCGTTAATAAATATTAATTTTAACCATTAGTTTTTCAAAAAATTACAGAAAAAATTTAAAAAAATTATAAAAAAAAGACCAAAAAATTATAAATAAGTATCCTATAAAAATTAACAACCATTAGGTTTCTTAAAACAAGAATAAATATCAAGAGATAAATGTTATTTTATTTTCACATAAAAGACCAAAATATTATTTTAACCTGCTACTTCCACAGGCTACCATTTTAACAAAAATATTATATATGTTTTGATAATAATAATTTAATATATAATAATTTAAATATTATTATTATTTACAAATTTTCAAACTCAATTTAAAAGTTAACTTTTGAGATTTTCCTTTTTTCCGAAAAAATATAACTCAACTATTATATGTGTGATTTAAAAGAAAATGTATTTTTTTTATAAATAATTTAGTTGAATTTTTGAAAATAATTCATCTATAAATTTCTAATGCACTAATTGAGCCACTAATTTTTAAAGGAGGATTACTAAATTTTGTAGAAATATTTATAAATAATAATTCTGATATTTAAACTATTTAATATTAGAATAATATTTTAATAAAAGTATTATTAAAAAATATTATTTTTAATCAGTATAATTTTTTATATGATACTTATGTGTAATTTTTTAGGTTATTTTCTATAATTTTTCTATCAAAATTAACTTTTATTAATAAAAAAGTAATATTATATCATTTTTAAAAATTAAAAAGAAATATTACTCAAAAATGAGTTCAAAATCTCAACTCATAAATGCTCCTGTATCTATAGTTTAAAGATAAAATTGCCCTTTAAATTTTATTATTTTAATATAAAATAAAAGGTTGATATTTGTAAGGATATAATTGCCTTGAACATTTAAAGATTATATAAAATCATAGTTATTTAATAATTTAATAATTTAAAAATTAAAATATTTTATATTAAAAATTTAAAAAGGGACAAAATGGCTAAAATATTGGGATAATCATATAGAGATCCCAGATATGGTTTCTAATTCCCAAAATGTCACACAAAATGCACAAACAACCCAAAAGTTTTATGATTTAATAGTAATTAGTTAAAAAGTATCTCCCCATGGTCGCCGGTGTCGGAGCCATCATCATCGGCTAGCCATCAAAGCTCGACAAGCGAATTATTGGTGAGTAGAGTCATGGTAGGATTTGAGGATACAAGTTGATATCACCACTAGACCATTGAGCCCATTTGATAAAAACATGAAAAATATTTGGTGTGTTACAGGGTATTTTTAATCTAAGAGTACATGACATTCTAATTTTTTTGTGATATGATCTTGCCGCTACTATTAATAAAGTTTATCTTTAATAGTTAGTTAATCAAAAATATTGTAAAAAATGATATAAAAATTACAAAAGGACTCCAAAATTATAAATAAATACCATATAAAAAAATTAATACTTATTAAATCTTCTCAATAACAAATAAATATTAACAGATAAATGTTATTTCTTACTAATTAAGTCTAAAAAAAGGGGGTTAATTTCTCATAAGGTGGCAAAGTAAGGTTCAAATCTCCACTAGGAGAGCTGCCAATATTTAGTGCTGTTTTGAATATGATTACCTCTAATAGAAGAATACTTATGAGAAACCTAAAAAATAGACCAAAGTATTAATTATTTTGACCAACCATTTTGATAAGCTATTAGATAATTATTATATCATTATTGTTTTTTTTCTAACGATTATATCATTATTGTTGTCAACAACATCCATACTCTTTTAGTTCTATTTATAAGTCACTTTTAATATATTTTACCAGTGTTAAGAAAAATTTTAAAACTCATTAACTCAGTCTTAAAATTTAATAAGTTTTTAACTTTGTTCCTATTAAATATACATACTTTGATAACATATTTTTTCTCTTCAATATTCAGTGGAGGGTAAAAGAAAAAATTTGTAATAAAAATTTAATGACGTGACTTATAAATAGGATTTAAAAAAATTCTTCTCTTTTTGCCCTATAAATAGGACCAAAGGGAGTAATTAATTAAAAAAATAATATATATTTACTTTAATATTTAATACTGTTATTGGTGTTATTGCGAATAATAATAATCTAATAATTATCCAGTAGTTGGTCAAAGTGACTAGTCAAAATGGTATTTTTGACCTTTTATATGGGTAAGAAATAGCATTGATTCCTTGTAATTCATTTATAATTTAAGAGACTCAAATGATATTAATTTTCTCATAAGATCTTTTAATGTAATTTTTAGGTTATTTTCTATAATTTTTTATTAACTAGCCATCAAGCTTAACATATTTAATGGTTAAGGTAAAATTGTTTAATTTTCAAATGTTGTCCAATATTTTGGACCATAAAAATATTTAGAATACCAGACGCTCCTGCACAAATAATTAAAGGATAAAATTATCCTTTAACCCTATATATTGGAATTGTTAATTCTAATATGTCAATTATCAATGAAAGACTCACAACGCTGGTATAAGAAATTATCAACTTTAACATAGGAAATTGACAACTAAAACTAATCACTTGCTGGTAAGTTTCCTAAGATTAGTTGTCAATTTTCTGTGCTAAAGTTGTTAATCTCTCGTTAGCAACTGTTATCAAATTTAACAACTTGGATGTAGGAAATTGATGAGTAATCATACGCTCAGTTTTTTAAAATTAATTGTCAATTTTCTGTGTTGAGGTTGTGACTTCTAGTAGAACAATTGTCAATAGGAGATTAACAACTTTAGTTAAAGAAATTCAAAACTTTAGCATAAGAAATTAGTAAATAATTTTAGGAAACTTATTATCAAGTGATTAGTTGTTAATTTTTTAATGATATATTTCATGAAAATAAACTAGAGTTTTTTAAAACAATATAACATAAATAATTTAACTTAATTTCTTTTTTGGTAAAAATTTTTTTACCCTTAACCTAACCCTTTCTCATAAAAGACACACACATCCACATATGCACACAAGCAAGTTAACAATAGGTTCAAACCCAAAACCTCTTTCACGAGAGGGAGATGGTATTGCCATTAGAAAAACTGATTATTAACTAACTTTATTTCTTTCATCTTGATAATTATTTAGAAATATATTGCACAAGCCAATGAAAATTGGGTCTAGGGAAAATAGCTTCTATCTCATGACTCATAGCATGATGAATCAATGTTTAAATACTTGCGAAAAGATATCTATATTTAGTGCCCTACTGTGTTTTTTTTTAATTATCTCTAATAAAAAATACTTTGAAA